AAAATATGTAATCTTGTAAATGTATAAGGTTTACAGCATTTTTACCCCCCAAAAAATCGAACCAATACAAATCATATTTTTAATTGCTCTTACAATACTTAGAGTCTTATCAAATACCTGTGTACGTGTTGTGTTTAATTTTTCCATCCACTGTGTGCCCATGGACACGTGTCTTGGTTTGTGCTTAAGGGTAGGCACTTCTTATCCTTTCCCATCTACCGTATTTTCACGACTATAAGGCGCACTTAAACGTCTTTTTTTTCCCTCAAAATGTGCGGTGCGCCCTATGGTGCGGTGCGCCCTATGTGTGTTGTAACTGCGACTTTTGAGACCACCTCATTGAGGAGATGATGAAAGAGTGGCTGAATGTAAGGAGACCAGGTGTTTTTTTTCCACCCCTCACCATCGCTGTTAATATGTAACTCCATGCGTGCCCATCTCACAGCTGATGTGAAAAACATGGGGAAACAAATTAACTCGCTGTTCAACCGCTCGACATCAGTGTGAACCGGACCCAGCAGGTGCAGCAGAAGCAGCGAGTTTACATGCAAAGTCAATGGTTGACGCGCGTATAGGCACAGCAAAAGGTCCCGCAGCGCGTTTTGGTGCAGCACGTCGGGAGCGTTTAAGCGCTGCTGCAGCTCAGATGGAAAAATTGAAGTTTTGCTGCTGGACGCGCCGCATCAACCAATCAGAGAAGCTGATCTGGGAGCTGGCAGCGAGACAGACAGCGCTCTGATGATATTAACGCAAATGAAAAGGCTCGGTGGATGCGTGGCTGAGGGAGGTGTATGTGAGGAGACTAGGTGGTTTTTTCCACGCATCACCATCGCTGCGTGCCCATCTCACAGCCGATGTGAAAAAAAGATGAATCAAATGAACGCTGTGCTCGCCGTTATCCCGGGGGTCTGACAAAGGAGCTTCCACCGCTCGACATCGAAGCGGCCGTTCACAGTAAGGCTGCGAGCGGCGTGGGAGCGATGGATGACAGACTGAGACCACAGTTTCATGATAAATGGAAGGCAGCGCCGGGCAAGTTACGCAACCGTTTGCGGATGGATTGTAGATGGACTGTGTCTGCTGGCTCTGTTGTTCAAGCTTTCGCAAAAGCCGGCATTATTTCTGAGGAGCTGCGCTGCACGGAAAGTGACTGACAGCGCAGAAGGGGAAACTGGCATGTCGGATTTAGCGCAGCTGTTTAATTCAGAAACAGAGGATGAGGACTTTGAGGGGTTTGATTAATACTTTGTAATAAATACATTAATAAAGCACAATCATACTCAGTTTTGCTCCCGCTCTATTTTTCTACCTGAAAACTTAATTCAACAGCCGCCTCTGGGCCGCGGCGCATCCAGACTCACCTCGGCAGGTGTTTTTTCATCTAAATAATCTAAATCTTTTTGAGTGAGAAAGTCCACCTGAAAATTTAATCATTGCAGTCAGTTCATCCAGATTATTATCCTGCCTATGTTTTAAGTTAATTTATGCGTCAATAAATTGTATCAGAGGAGTAATCGCAGCCCTGTGTCATCAGCGATGTGTCTCTCACGGCTGGTTCCCAGGTTTGAATAATACTTTGTAATAAATACACCTTGCAGCTTTATTTGCTGTGATCAGTGGGAATAAAGTAGTTTTAATATGTTTTTAAGTGAGAAAATCCACCTGAGAGGACATGTACCTTTATATAAAAAACGCGCCCTATAGTCCGGTGCGCCTTATGTGTGTGTTAAATACAGAAATGGGACACATAACTGAGACTGCGCCTTTTAGTCCGGTGCGCCTTATGGTCGTGAAAATACGGTATTTTAGATTTCAGATGGACCTTTGGTTCAGCCTCAGGCACATCCTGCACTTCACATTCTATGAATATGTTGTGCCGAAATCCAGGCAATTACCCCCTACCTGCTGCTGGATCATTCCTACTTAGTTTTTCAATTCTCCCTTACTATTATGTGACCCCAGTCCTTTGTCGAACAGGGCAGACACTTGCCATTTGGTTTAATAAAACACTCTATAGAAAATAAAAGAATAAAACTATTCGTAAGTCGATTATTGACAGTCATAATAGGACAAATCTGTCCTTTTTTTACTACAGTTTTAGATATACAATAACCATGTAACCAGTTTGGACATATAGTTGTATGTTTTCTCAGGAACTTATTAATAACTCAAAAAGGTTCAGGTTAGATGATATGTTTATATTGGGCCTAAATAAAAAATTAATGAAAGCATTTAAGGCTGAAAAGCACAACAATAAATAATGTATCAAATTGATAGTTGAGCTGCTGTTTATTCCTTTAAATTAACAGATTTCAAGGGTTTACTGGGTCTAATTTAAAGACAAATATAGGTACGCAGGAGGGGAAAGTAGATTGACAATCCGGCCCTCATTGAGCTGTAAATTCAAAAAAAGTTTTTTACTCACTCAAATTGCAAAATAACAGTGACATGTATGAGACATATATATCCAGGAATAAGGAATTTCTTAATATGTCTGATAATAACTGTCAGTCAGCCTAATAATTTTCAGTTCCTAGCAATAAGTTTGTGGAATACAGAGTCTGGATGCAGAAAACAACATATCAAAAATATCAGTACATACAAACTAGTGGGCACCTCAGTATGCAAACCCAGTCCTGTCATTCCTCTTTGCAGATTGGCAACCTATGTCGACCAGGCGGTAATAGGATGCCTCTGTTTTCTTAATCTAGCTTTTCACATCAATATGGCCAGTTCCCAGGGCTCTACACTACAAAGTTCTCACACAAAAAGTGCTATGTTTATAACCTGGCATAAGCTAGATTGATACTTGTGTTCAACTTAAGTTCTATCCATCTGGAAAGGCTGGTGTGGAAAGCGTTCCACACTGTTATACTTCCTTACAAACAGACCTCAATCAGTCCGGGTCGGACAGAAAACCTCTGATATCATCAGTCTAAGCACAGGCCAAACTCAGGGCTGCATTCTGAGTCCCCTGCTGTTCATCCTGATGACACATGACTGCGTCCCCAGGTTCACCTACAAATGCATTGTGAAGCTTGCTGACAACACCACCGTGTTGGGCCTCATCAGAGACAATAACAATCATGACAACAGAGAGGAGGTGAAGCAGCTGGTGGTGCAGAGACAACAACCTGATCCTGAATGTGGAGAAAATGAACGTGATCATAGTAGACTTCAGGAAGAACCGTCCCAACCACGCTCCACTGGTCATCAACAGATCAGCTGTAGAGGTGGTCAGCAGCACCAAATTCCTGGGGGTGCACTTCACAGACAACCTCACCTGGACTGTAAACATTACGGCACTGGTCAAAAGGGCACAAAGGGCTTTTACTTCCTGCTGAGGATGAAGAGAGCCCACCTGCCCCGATCCATTCTGACGACTTTCTACAGTAGCACAATAGAGAGCGTTCTGACCAGCTGTTTTACTGTGTGGTGTGGAGGCTGGAGAGCCTCAGACTGGAAGAAGGTGAGAAGAGTGGTGAGAACAGATGAAAGGATCATCGGGGCTCCTCTGCCCTCCATGAAAGACATTTCATCCCAGTTCTGTGTGTCCCGAGCCCGTAACATCATCAGTGACCCCTCACACCCCCACCATGGACTATTCTCCCTGCTGCCCTCTGGGAAGAGGTCCAGCAGATTCCAAAACAACTTCTTCCCCACTGCCATTAGACTGCTGAACTGTGGAGAAAACTCTAAACATGTTGCGGACAGTAAAACATAAGGGTTTTAAAGAGTACATCCTGTGTGAATACTAACTCCTTTGTAGGGGCCTTAAGCCAGGCACCTCATCCGCAAGGCTATAAGTCTAGGGACTATGTATGTTCAGCCATTTAACGATCGAATTCCAATAATTATCATTGATATAAATCAGTGGTGTCAAAAGTACACACATTTGTTACTTAATTAGAAGTATAAATACTGTAGTTTAAAAACATTCTGTTAAAAGTTGAAGTATCAACTCAAGTAAAAGTGAAAAAGTATGTGCTCCAAAAACTACTTAAAGTATAAAATTATAAAGTACATTTAAAAAAAAAAAACAGCCAGCTACAACTATATGAATTGAAAACTCAATTTTTTGACTATTTGGAGAAATTCATTAAAATAGGGCCAAGGATGAGGAAGGTCTTGTTGGTCTCCGTCTCCATCTCCCGATATGCTCTTGCCTGTGTCCGACCTTTCAGACATTTAACATCTTTTTCTGAAGCTGACATTGTAGCATGGCATAGACAATTCATGTTTGCACTTTGAAGGACACCTGCTTTCTTCTGATTCAATTCAATTCAATTCAGTTTATTTATATAGCGCCAAATTCACAACACATGTCATCTCAAGGCACTTTACAGTTCAACCAGATCATACAGTCAAATTGATACAAAGTTTTCTATCTAAGGAAAACCAGTTGATTGCATCGACTCATTGACTCAAATACAATCCCTCACACTAAGCATGCTTGTAGCGACAGTGGAGAGGAAAAACTCCCTTTTAACAGGAAGAAACCTCCAGCAGAACCAGGCTCAGTGTGAGCGGCCATCTGCCGAGGCCGACTGGGGTTCAAGGAGACAGAAGCAGAGACACAAAAAGCAGCTGTAAAAGGTGGCCCCGTCCAGGAAACACACAGCCAGACAGACGAGCTCCGAGCCAGCTCCCATGCCAGAGGATGAAGAGAGCACATCCACTCAGTCACGGTCAGAGAAAAAGGACCACACTGGAAAACAGGCCGATCTCCAACATCTATAAACAAGGGTGTTGATGGAAGCAGCACAGGTGATGTTTCTTTCCAGGATGACGTCACAGCCAAACAGGAACAGACGAGGCAAAGCTACTCTGAGGAAAAGCAGATAGAGCAGAAGGTTAGAGATTGAAATAACAGATTCTGCAGAATAGGAGAACAGAGAGAGAATGAAGCAGAATGATGAAATGGGGGTCCCTATGTCCTCCAGAAGTCTAAGCCTATAGCAGCATAACTATAGAGATAGCTCAGGATAACCTGAGCCACCCTAACTATAAGCTTTATCAAAAAGGAAAGTTTTAAGCCTAGCCTTAAAAGTAGACAGGGTGTCTGCCTCACGGACTAAAACTGGTAGTTGGTTCCACAGGAGAGGAGCGTGATAACTAAAAGATCGGCCTCCCATTCTACTTTTAGAAATTCTAGGAACCACTAGTAAACCTGCAGCTTGAGAGCGAAGTGCTCTGTTAGGAACATAAGGAACAATCAGATCTCTAATATAAGATGGAGCTTGGCCATTTAAGGCTTTATATGTGAGAAGGAGGATTTTAAATTCTATTCTTGATTTAACAGGAAGCCAATGAAGAGAAACAAGGATATGAGTGATGTGATCTCTCTTTTTCATTTTCATCAGAACTCTGGCTGCAGCATTTTGGATCAGCTGAAGGCTTTTAACTACAGTTTGTGGACTTCCTGATAGTAAAGAATTACAATTGTCCAGCCTTGAAGTAACAAATGCATGGACTAGTTTCTCAGCATCAATCCTGGACAGGAGATTTCTCATTTTTGCAATATTCCTCAGATGAAAGAAGGAAATTCTAGAAACCTCTTTGATATGGGATTTAAATGACAGGTCCTGATCAAAAACAACACCAAGATTTTTTATTTTATTATCTGAAATCAGGTTAATCCCATCAAAATGAAGTGACTGACTAATCAGATTATTTTTCAAAGACTCTGGTCCAAAGACTATAACTTCTGTTTTGTCTGCATTCAGAAGTAGAAAGTTAAAAGTCATCCAGGTTTTTATGTCTTCAAGACATGCCTGTAATCTATGTAATGGGTTAGCTTCATCTGGATTTATAGACAGATATAGCTGGGTATCATCAGCATAACAGTGAAAATTAATTCCATACTGTCTAATAACTCTACCGATTGGGAGCATGTATAAAGTAAAGAGAATTGGTCCTAGCACGGATCCCTGTGGTACCCAACAGGTAACCTTTGAGCATATGGAAGATCTGTCATTAACATGAACAAACTGAATTCGATCAGAGAGATAAGATTTTTGCTGTTCCTGTAATTCCAACAAAATATTCAAGTCTTTCTAAAAGAATATTATGGTCAACTGTATCAAATGCAGCACTGAGATCCAACAGGACGAGCACAGATACAAGTCCATTATCTGAGGCCATGAGAATATCATTAGTGACTTTCACCAGAGCTGTTTCAGTGCTATGGTGAGCTCTAAAGCCAGACTGAAACTCTTCAAAAAGTTCATTATGGTGTAAGTGATCACAAACTTGTTTGGCAACTACTTTCTCAAGAATTTTAGATAAGAAAGGAATATTGGATATAGGTCTATAATTGACCAAGTCATCTGGGTCAAGAGACGGTTTCTTAAGCAGAGGTTTAATTACAGCAACCTTAAAAGCCTTAGGTACATATCCCTGTAACAGAGATAGATTAATCACATCTATCATCAAAGGAAATTAATAACCTGGTTGGAACTGGATCTAACATACAAGTTGAAGGCTTTGATGAAGACAATAATTTTGCTAACTCAGAAAGTTAAACTGGATCAAAACAGATTCCATGACTACCTCAGATACAATCGTGCATAGAGGAGTGCTTATGATCTTATTTTTAATAAGATCAATCATATTTATAAAGAATGGACGGTTCAACAGAGCTATGGCTCTGGGTGAGTATTAAAAAGAAATGTAGGATTATTCTTATTCTCCTCTATTAATGAGGAGAAATATGCTACCCTTGCTTTACAAAGGGTCCTCTTATACAGCAGTAAACTGTTTTTCCAGACTAGGTAGGATTCCCGTAGGCCTGTGGAGTGATATTTTCTCTCCAGTTTCCTAGCATTTAGCTTCAAAGTGCGCAGCTCTGCATTACACAAAGGAACAAGCTTTTCGGTTTTCATTTTCAAAGGAACTGTGTTGTCTAACGCAGTACGCAGAGAACTAGCAACCCCATCAACAAAATCATCAACCTAGTGTGTGTGATGATTTTGGAGTCTGCACTGTATAATCACAGGGCTATTGATTAAAATAGGATGATATTGATGGTTAATAACAATAAAAAAATTCTAAAAAATAGGTAAAGGTGTCTTTTTCCAAAACAGCTATTGTAGTATGTTCATCTGGAGTCCCTTGGTGTGTGTGGTGATTTTGGAGAGTCTGTACTGTATAATCACAGAGCTATTGATTAAAATAGGATGATATTGATGGTTAAAAACAATAAAAAAAAACATTTTAAAAACTTTTAAAAAAGTGTATTTTTAAAAAAAATAGCTGTTGTAGTGCGATCACCAAGAGCCCCTTGGTGTGTGTGGTGATTTTGTAGTCTCTGCACTTTATGGCAGTGGAGTTATTGATCTTGTTGTTTTACCATTTGCAGACGGTCCCTAACCACTCGCCTGGCCCCTGCCTGTGCATAGAGATCAATGTAATACATCCAGCTCGGAGAACGGCTCGTTTTTCTCGAAAATAACGCTTTTTAATTCTTGTAGATCATAGTCTGTGCTATCAGGACATGAAAGATGCGTCATTTGTGTTTCAACAACGTTTCGTGTGAGAGTTATTGATCCCGGAAGTCCGAATCTGTCTTAACTGACGAGCTGTCAGTCAAATGCTTCCTGACACTACTTCATGTGAGATTGTGTCTGCAAGGCCCAATCAGGAGAGGCTTACAGTTGTCTCCGCCCAACCTGTCAAAACCACTTTTCCTCCTCGCGAGGAGAAAATCTATCCGAGCGCAGAGACGCTTTCAAGAGGGCAGCCGTCTTCGAGCGTGGCCGCTGGATAGAAAATTGTGTGCGCAGGGAGATCACGCACGCACGTGGGAGGGGCTGGCGCGCGCGGAGAGAGATTTTCTCCTCTTGAAGCAACAGTTTCTCGCGCAGCAGTAGATAAACCATGCGCAGAAGTAGTCTAACATACATGCGAGTATGTTTATTTTGCTCGCGTTGGTTATGACATAAATGTAACGCCATAGACTTCAAAGGATCCAGTCTAGGGCTCTGTTCGAAATCCTGGGCTGCATCCCCCAAGGACGTGGTCTACCTAGACGGGATCCTTCGAAGTCCTTGAAAATAAGGAGCCCGGAAATGTTTTGGCTGTGAATTCGAACAGGTCTATCCTTCAGCGGGTTTTACCGCCGTATGCTCTGTTGCTTAGCAACCGTGAAAGTTGACACAAAGCAGGAAAAGAATGAATACAGAAGTTTTCAAAACTGTTTATTTTTTTAATTGTAAAGTGAACAAATGTCAGGGACCCGAAACCCTGGACCCAATATTTAACAAACAGATCTGGATGATTGCCAAAGACTTTGTTTAAAAACGGCGTGCGTCAGCGCCTAAGCTGGAGCGGATAAGCCGGATCCTCTGTGGAAACAGAAACCCAGGTCAGTAACTAAGAATAAATGTCAAGAAACGACTGAGAGCTATAGTCACTGACCTGGTTCACAGTTCAGTCCGATCCCTGAGGGATGAGAGGAATCCGCAAAGGTGATTGTCCTCCGCTTGCGGTGGGCGCGGCCCCCGGAGCTCCGTGAGGTGAGCAGCGCTGATGCCAAGCGACGCCGTGGAGCAGCTGAGTCCAGAAAGGGAGATCCAAGCCGAGGTCGTAGCGGTTCCAAGTTCGTTAACCAGATGATCAGAGAGCCGATGAGGCACTGATGAGGGAATCCAAGCCGTGGTCAGGAAAACAGTCCAGGTTCGGTAAGCCAGTTGCATCCAATAAACAGTCCAGGGCTGGTCAGACCAACAGACCAGACAGGGGCAAAGCAAAACTCAGGATCCACAAGACAGAAACAGGTCACTAACAGAATAATCAGAATGATAGTCCAACGCTAGAGTTACCACAAGGCTAGAATAATCTGGCACTGGTGGCTTGAAAACAAACAGTATATATAGGGGCTGAAACCAGGTGGAAAGGATAAACAATAATGAGAAAACAGGCAGAGTAAAACAGGTGGGTGGAATAAGCAATCAAGCCAGCCACCAGTGCCAGGACCATGACAACAAAGACTACACTCACAAGAATCCAGAGTGGAATAAAGGTTCCAACCACCGGGAGCAGGAACAAATAAAATCAAATGTAATGATAGAAACCTTCGTCAGTTAAATAACATGCTGCTGTCATTCTGCACATCTCTGATGTTGCTGCTATTTTCAAATATCCATTACTGTAAAAATGTCCATAGCTGCATATTGGTTATTTATTCTCCAGGTGCACAGTTTTATATTGTTAAAACACTTTACAGTATTGTATTGTTTATATTTTAACTCTTCCCTATTATGTTATTCTTATACATTTTTCTAAGGTCCTCATTTATGTGACCATTTTTAATAATCTTTCTGCTGCTGTAAATGTGCCCATTGTGGGACAATAAAGAGATTTGCTATTCTTTAAAAAGGGTAGAAATATATAAGTAAATCTAAACAATGTATGTATAAAAATATGTATTTACAAAATCTCTAACATTTAACAACAAAAAATACTTAGTTAAGCGTATTGTGCTTATAGTTCCCGCTCTGCAGATATATTAGAATCTGTCATTAAATTACAGTCAAACCCATTTACACAGTAACAGATAAAAACCTTTAGATAAACCAAACATTACCGCCACATATCTGACTCAATAACCATTTAAACAACTATTTTCATTCAATTCAGATGGAACTATTCACAGACTTGTATTATATTAAACTTAACTTCCAATTTTCAGCACTGTTCGGCGCCAAGTAACCTTTCCTCTGATCACGGAGCAAATCCAGGCTTGCTTGGTCTCGCAATGAATCCTGGGTAAGCCAAAGACACTGAGGATACATCGGACCCGTCCTTCAAATCAGGCAAAAAGAGGGATGCATTTTAAGGTCGCATAACGAGGAGTTTTGGAATCCGACCAGACCTCGGCGCCACGCTATGACGTAATCGTCCTTCGAATCTGGCCTTCTACGAACGCATCCCAGGTTTTCGAACAGAGCATAGGTAGACCGCGTCCTTGGTGGATGCAGCCCAGGGTTCGAACAGAGCCGAAGAAGAAAAAAAGTTTGCTGCCGGCCGCTTCTTCCGGATCAAACCAAGAGCCTTGGCTGACAGGGGTGCCGTACTAGCTGTGATCGGCTCAGTTGTTGCACCCAGTCTGATAATCGGAAAAACTCTAATAGCTGTATGTTAGTAGTTAACCGACGTTTTGTAATTCTACCTGTTTAACATAAAAAATAAAAATAAGAAATTCCTCATTCAGCCAGGAACAGCGCTGAGCGCTGTGTCACATGACCAAATGAGCTAATTTCATTGGCTAGAAGCTGCTAAACTCTATCGAGTGTAGATTGCTTTGGCTTGAGTTCACCAAAAGGTCAACACTTTTGCGGCTGAATTTTTGCAGCGGAATTTTTTGCAGCTGAATTTTTTTGCAGCTGAATTTTTTTTCTGGTGAATTTTTACCAGATAAAAATTAAGTGTAAGAAACTCAATGTCTAAAAAAATTCAGTGCTTAAAATTCGGTGTTAAAAAAATTCAGTGCTTAAAATTCGGTGTTAAAAAAATTCAGTGTTTAAAATTCGTTATTAAAAAAATTCAGTGTTTAGTGTCCTGGAGCTCCTCCACCTCAGTCCAAAAAGGTTAGCCACTTCTCATACAAAAAAACAAATAATTCAATAATTAAAAATAATTTAACACCGGAGAGAAGGAAAGCCTTATTTAGGGTCAGGGGTTCAGAGCAGATGAAAATCCTATTTTCTTGTTTTCCCCTTATTTTAACTCATCATTTCCATCCGGTTCCTGTGACGGTGAGTGTGCGTTGGGGGGTGGGGGGAGATTGATGCTTGTTGCAGGCTGTCTTTCACCGGCGGGCTGATGGGAGGGGGGGCACCTCCTCCAGGTCTGAATTCCACAAGGAGCGGCTCCGTTCAGGGAGTCCATGTTTAAA